AGTGAATCTTAACAAAAGTATTTCGTGATTTTTTTAAACCATTGTATTAGCAGTTCAATTTATTGAGGTTTAGAATTAATTGTACAACCGACAACCATTTTTCTCAAATGAAACTGGTCTAGGGAATCTTGACATATGTTCTGTATTTTTGTACTGTACATTTGATTGTAGTTTCAGCTTATTACTAGCCATGATGTACTGTTAACGTATATGATAAGTACTGTGTATGTCAAACCAATGCAAAAGTGTCAATAAAATATTGATTTCTTGCAAAGTGTTTTTCATGAAAAAATACAAGAGAATAATGAAGTTTCAACAGAACCATAATTCGAACTCAAAATCAATAAAATTAGGGCAAAATAATTTTACAAAAGAAAGATACGATTGGCTTAAAAAATGATATTAAGACCCGGTGTTCCGAAAGGGTAAGCGTCTTCTGCTTCATTGACGACTCCCGCCATGTAAATCTAGATCACATTCTAGCAATTTACAGTCAGAAATAAACTTGTGGCACTAGATATTGACAAAAGAGTACGACATAAAACACACCACGTACACAGAACATAACAAGATGTCATTGTCAAAAAGACACCAAAACAAAATGAAAAACATCATGATTATTCACATTTCTTAATGATTGACATTTAATATACCTCTAGACATAATTGCCCTAGCCTATTTATGGAATTTTAATATCTTCTACATATGAAGTGTTTTTCGATAATTCTGTTTAAAGTCAGACCTGAAAATAAATGTCCCACCCTGTATTCCTCCCCTTGCTTCCTCATCCCGGCTGCCTTTAGGCTCCATAAAAGGGGTTTAAGGAAGGGAGATCACTCCGTGGCTCTGTCATCGAGATATGGATTACGTCACGGTAGGGAGGTAGGGATATTTGAAACTTTTGTTTTTAGGCTACAAAGATGGTTGTAGGTATTGTATATGCATACAAAAGTTATGGTATGTATTACATCATGAAAATTGGTTTTACTTCAAAAACCTTAATTTGACAACACTTTCGTAATATCATCTTCATGTTTTCAATTTGAATTTTATAAATAAAAAACACGGCCAATATATTGCGGTTAAAAGTTAAAATAATTTACATGAATAAAACAGGTACAACGTCTGGAGTACTCTTATGGAGTGACTGATACCGCACTATGCTGGATACAGTCATACCTGAGTGAACGACGACAGTGTGTATTCGAACCCAGGAACTCCGATCATTATACTGTTGTTTTAACCAGCTGTGTTACCTTGGCAATGATAGTATCGGTACAGTTGTATCTGAAATGGTTTATCAGAGAAGATTACTGTTTATACATGTACGTGAAATTACATTGAAATCACATAAACGTTTGCCTGCAATGGTAGGGGTATACTTTGACAGTTCTCTGAACATGGAGAAACAACTTAACGCTATTGCCAAATCCTGTTACTACCAGATCAGGAACATCGGCTGTATTCGGCAGTTTCTAACTGCAGATGCATGCAAGATTTTGGTGCATTCACTTGTTACCTCTCGGTTGGATTATGGTCACGCCCTGCTCTGTGGTATATCTGACAAACTAACTAGTCGTCTGCAGAGGGTTCAGAACACTGCAGCACGGCTAGTTACTCGGACTCGAAAGAGAAAGCACATCACACCTGCGTTTTATTCGTTGCACTGGTTACCTGTACGATACAGGTCGCAGTACAAAATTCTGGTATACACATACAAGGCACTGAATGCAACAGCTCCTCATTACCTACATGAACTTGTTACCCTGTATAAGCCGTCAAGATCACTGCGGTCGGAGTCAGAATCTTTGTTGTGTGTCCCAAATTCTCGTACTGTGACCTACGGAAACAGATGCTTTGGGAGGGATTCGGCTACGTTGCGGAATAGCTTACCATCTGTTATTAGGAAGTCGAATACCCTGGCAAAGTTCAAGAGGGAAATATAAACTCACCTCTTCATGTCTGCATTTTAGAATCTTTGCAAAGACGTCATGTAAATACCACCCTTTTATTTGTTCAATTATGTGCACATTGCTTGTGAAATGTATGAAAATGATTGCAAGCCTTTGTTGTTTGTTTTTACAATTATAACCATTACTATTATCCATATGTTGTAAAGCGCCTTAGAGTAATTTTACAAATTATATAGGGCGCTGTATAAATGCTGTATATTATTATTATTATTTATGGAAATTAATGATCTCCGATCTGTGCGGTAAATTTGACTCATATCAAAGCTTTAAATTCACGTGTAATCATTATATCTCTATATTTCATTAATTAAATTCGTTTCTGGCGCATTTTGATACAAATAATTTCAAACTTTAAAACATATCCAATATATTTGATAATTAAGCATAAGAGTGCACTCTGGCCAGAGTCATAGTCCTATAAGTCTTAACATTGTCGGAAAAAAAAGAAAAAAAAATGAAAAATTGTCAATCCTGTTTAGAGCTACTTTTATGTAACTGAACTGTTAACAGACTGGTTAATGCTATTTCGATTTGTATATTTCTTCTTCATATTTGAAGTAGAATTTCTAATAAACGAAACAGCAGATAACGGTCAGGTAAACAAGTTATTATAATGACGTCACAATCGCGATGACGTCATAATCATCAGGCCTTTTTGATGGTCTAATAAATCTTAACAGAGTTTAGTAGGTATACACAGTGGCGATACAGTGGATATCTCAATACGTAGACAATTAACACAGCTTTTAAAAGCATTAGAATACCTAGCATGCACCTTTAACAAAGCAGTGTCATTCGGCAAAGACCGATCCTCGGTGAAGCCATTGATGATTCTAAAGCTCACAAAAGAATAAAACTAACGACCACATTTCCAACGCTGCTGTATATTGGAAACAAATTATAAAGGAGAGCGGATCCGTGATGTTTTCTGTTTGTGAAAACGAATAATACATTGATTGTCTCTGTTATCAATATACCATTGTCATAAAAACGTTATCCGTCACCAGCTGCAGTGTCTACGTCAGTGGTTCTGAATAGTTAATTGTCTGAAACACAAAGGCAATTTCCATTCAGATCACCATGATCTAGTTAAATTGTCAATTGTACGTTGGGACCGTTTACCTGTTACAGATAAGACTCATTATACTATTATAAAATATGTACCACATTCTAGTCATATCGGCTATCCTATCAACTATTAATGCAAGTAACTCAATTTTTACTTAAACGAACGACCATTCCGTGCCATTCCCTGTCAGACACGGTCCTTAGACTCCAATTATACGTATACAAATTATTCCACTATTCGTCTCTTTCTCTGTAATGCCAGTGTTCACTAATTGAAAACTACATCTAAGTAAGACCCTAAGTTTAACTGCAAAAATAAGTACATATACATCGAAAAGTTTCCTCGTTATGACCATAAATTGAAAGAGGGAAAGAAGGACATGTCTTTTGGAACTTTAAATATAAAAAGATGAACAAACAATAACGGCATTTTGAGTATAAAATGCAATGAGACCAGAACAGGTATTCGAACCCAGGAACTCCGATCATTATACTGTTGTTTAAACCAGCTGTGTTACCTTGGCAATGATAGTCTCGATACAGTTGTATCTGATATGGTTTATCAGAGAAGATTACTGTTTATACATGTACGTGAAATTACATTGAAATCACATAAACGTTTGCCTGCAATGAGGGACCCGGACAAAAAACCAGAACATAACAAAATGTCATTGTCAAAACGACATCAAAACAAAATGAAAAACATCATGATTATTTACATTTCTTAATGATTGACATTTAATATAGTCTAAACATATTTGTCTTAGCCTTTTTATTTAATTTCAATATCTGCTACATAAGAACTATATTTCGATAATTCTGTTTAAAGTCAGACCTGAAAAAAAAATGTGCGTTAGCATATCTGATTAGTGTACTCCAAGTATGACAGACACCGAAATCCTACGCACAGCAACATGTAGCATAGCTTCTATTTAGCAATTCTACAGTAAGTAATTATTCAGGCCGCGACGATGAATATATAGATAGGCTTCTAACAGCGCAATTGTTTTATTATATTATTAGATTACTGAATCATATTAACATTTTGACAATATAACTAATCAAGTTTAGTGCATCAATATTACCATTAGTATCCTTTTTGGACGGTGCTTCATAGTCGTAAACACCTGCTTAGTTTTAAGTATGGATATGTCATCAAACTGCGAGGAATTTCCATCGAGCTATTGCAAATTACTCATGGGTGAACTCCCCAAAGAACAATAAAAGTTTGTAATCAATACGTCGTTAGACCAGCTATACACTGATGTAGTAGTTTCTTGCCTATCAGCTCCTTTACATATTAATCAAATATTGATATATATTTCTTCACGCTTTTCGAGCATATTGTAGTCAATGGTGTAATATCATTGATATACTTACGATCATTTTAAAATGAATTTATACTAAGTTTTCATATTTTTTTATTAAATACAACGCATAAGAACTTTTTTTATAGCGGAGTCGATATCAAATTGTATTAGCATAATGGTAATTTTAAGTCACTTCTTTTCAAATTATCCTACTGTGTTAACGTGTGGTTATTTTATATATATTATCAGAAATTTTTCATTTGAAATCCATGGATTTGCACAATAATTATTTATGTTTTTATAATAATGAAAATATTAACTATGTATATATCAATTTATTATATTTTATTCCGCTGAAGAATTTGAAACACTCCACATGTGTTGAGTGCATGAATGACAATGGTAAATGTGAATGGGTTTTTTTATCTACATATTACCATGAGATCGGTAACCCGATCTATGTATGCTAATTACCTATTATAGAAATTTAGTGTTTGGATTTGTTTCCGCTTTCGTCATTTACGTTTAGAACAGTGTGATTGGATATTCTACATGTCGGTCTGGCCACGGATGAACCCGGACATACACGCACGTGTTCATATAAACAGGTGTGTCATTTAGAACATGCCTAGTATTCACGTATCTTCTCCCATGGTGAAGGGTTAATAATCTATATCTGCCCACTCGATCAACTATTGTTTGCTTTTGTCTTTAAACAGAACACAGGATTTGGATTCCTGGATGTGGCTAAACAATGTTTCTTTGTTGAAAGTTTATTTATTGTATCCCACCTCTGGTACGTGGTGATATAGTGTTGCATGGATTTAGATCTGCGGTATATGGTCAATAAGATATCAAGTTGGTATCGTTTTTTCTTTTCTTTTTAAATCAGATATTTGACATTGTATAATTGATCTGATCAATCTTATTTCTATGGCTAATAGGATAAACTCACTTTACTCGCCACTCGACGTTTGAAACCTGATACCTGGAACTAAGGAGAAACAGTGAATACTTGCACTTGGCATAATTTTGTGAACAAATAAGACAAAACTATGAAGTTTGAGGAGTTTATATGCGCAGTTCTGCTGTTATTATGTACAATACATCAATTTGTATTAACTCAAAAGAGTTATGAGGTTGACTATTCAAGTTTCCGCCCCGGGAAACAAATGCGACCGTCCAGTATCTTTCTTACAGTGAACCGTTTTACCATTGTAAGGTGTATCAAGGAATGCTTAAAATACAGACGATGTGGGGCCATAACGTTCAGCTCACTGGATTCGAGATGTGACCTAGGCGACGCTCGTCCAACGATCTTAACTGTCAATGACCAGAATACAATGACCAGTGGTCAGTATTGGACACCTCCAGAGGTGAGTTAATGCATGATACATGTTTGTTATTATTTCCGACAAAAACACTTTTTTCTTACTTAATAATACATATATATATTATATACATTACATCTCCAGCACACACGCAGGCATACACACATAGAGAGATATTGGCCAGGTGGCATAGGACTTGTAGTTAGCGCCTGATAAGGCAGCTCCTGCAAATTCCTAATGTATTTGCTAATTTTTATTAATTGTATATCTATGTACAGTAAAGCGCTTTAGAGTGGCTTATGTTAGCTAGATAGGGCGCTATATCAAATGTTGTATATTTATTTATTAATTTTATATGGCTTTCTGCATCGACCTGCTATTTTTCTAATAAGTGCTAGACAAGCACTACATTTTTCTTGTGATTATTTTACGTGACCAGCTGATTAACTCTGAACTCTGGTAGACTCTTTGTTTCAGAACTTAGCCGTAATTATGTTACTGAAATGTATTAAGTCGTTTAAAAAAAGGTTAAACATTGCAGGCGAAAGTTGTAATTTTCTAAGGTTTAAAGAAATCAATAGACCCTTTTTTTCTTTTTCTGCTGTATTTTTACAAAAGTATCAGAATTTCAGACAAAAATGTCCATTCTGACCTTTAATGCCACTGATGAGTCCGAAATGGGGAAAAAAACAAATGGTTTATTCACGAATATCTCACTGCTTTTCTTCGATTTATTTACAAAAATTAATGCGTTGATTGTTTTACTTGATTTTTTCTTACATAGTGCACTGTTGTTTTTTTTATTATCTATTCAAATATGATATTGTCCAGCGGATTTGTTCTGAAGGTTTTTATGTCTTTGCGTGTCAAAATAAAAGGTTACATTATATATTTCATCTTACAAATGATAATGATATTAATATAATTTAAATGTACGTTAGTAATTTATATATTTTTTACATAATGCTGCATCCTAAATTTTTTTAAACTTTAATTAGATTTAATGTTAACTTAAGTCTGAACGTTTACAGTTCAGGAAGTCCTTTTGTAAATAAGTTACTTTAAAAATAGTACTTTTTAGCAATCATTTGGAATTTGTATTTGGATTACTTGAAGCCAATTAGCGGTGCTGGAGGCCATAAAGAAAAAAAATGCAAAAGCAAGAGATAAAATCAAAATCATTTTTTATGAAATTGAAAAAATAACAGGTACCGGGTGGTTCTGTGCTCTTTTTCTAAATATCAACATAATTATATTGTCGCCATGACCAATTTACAGTGACATCTACATTTTTTTCATTTACAATAAGTCATACAGGAACAAGCATTTCAAATGTATTTGTTTTTTATGACGTCAAACAAAGATGACGTCAACCCACACGTATACGGACATACTTCACTGCCATGCATTCTATAATAATATTTGTATGGCTGTCCTTTTTCATGACGTTATGATGGAAATATTTTTGACAAATATTTAAAAGGTGGTTATAAGTTTCAGTTACGTGCTGTCGCACTTTCCATCCCTAGTATGGAACATAATGTTCATTTATCTCATTTCAAAACTCCCAAAGGACAAATAAAATAAAAAGTTAAAACATGTTATTGAAAAGCAAGCTACATTACGTTTGTAAGATGAATTAAACATCATGCAAAAGCAATGTTTTACATAACAAAAATGCAGCGCTAAGTTAATTTCACAATTTTGACAAAAATTCAAAAGGTGGTTTTAAGTTTCAATTACGTGCTGTCGCCACTTCCCATCCCTTGTATGAAACATAATGTTCATTTATCTCATTTCAAAACTCCCAAAGGACAAATAAAATAAAAAGTTCAAACATGTTATTTAAAAGCAAGCTATATTACGTTTGTTTGATGAATTAAACATCATGCAAAAGCAATGTTTTACATAACAAATGCAGCGCTAAGTTGGGGTACTCAATTATACAGCTACGCAGATTGGATTAATCAGGGTAAAATGTTCTGTGACATAACACAACATTTGTTAATTGATACCAATGATGTTAGAATCAACTACCTTACGGACTTCTCTTTTTGTAAAGCTGACAATTTGGTAACCATATTGATTATCTTTATCATTCAACTCTTCATGTATTGTGTTTTGCTTTAAGTGAAATGTCAAGTCACTGACTTATATTTGTATAATTTTAATTAGCGTAGACATAAATTAACGCAATAATTAAAGTGAGAAATGTGCTACAATTAGAAAACCTTTACAGTACTTAAGAAAAAATATTTTTGAAATTCTTGATACATTTTCGCGATTGTACTTCAAGTATTTAAAACTAATTCTTATTGAGTGTAATGAAATATATGGGTGAGGAAATAACTTAATAGTGGTCCTAAATTTTGTATGTGATTATTATCATCCATGATGATGTGTATACTAATTGCTTTGAAAGTTTTAAAGTGCATTACGCTAGCATTGGCTTAAAATAGCTACCCTAAAATGTCGATAATCAGCCTGATTTGTCGATTATCAGCCTTATTTGTCGATAATCAGCCTGATTTGATAACCGTGCAGCTATTACCAATGTAAGCCTTATATTCATTGCAGTCAATTACATCTAGAAAAAAAGCCGTTTTTGAAAATATGCATTTGATTCCAGGTGAGAGCCACATTTTCTCTCTTTTAACAGATTTCAGAGATATTCATCTCATTGCGCTTCGATAATTAAACTGTATTGAACATAGGCCGGCTTCGAAAAGTAACCTGGGATTCATTACCGCATCTTATAATCGAGATTTAATGGTAAAAGTGTAAAAGAAATATCTATGATTATAATCGAAAAAATAAATAAAAATAATCACAAGTGTTACATATACAAACAAAACACATTTTCTCAGACTCACATCCATACATTCAAACTAACACTTAGTCATCATCTACAACAACAACAACAACGACAACAACATTTTTTCATCATCATAATCAACATTATATGCTATCATCTTACATCATCATTATCATCATCATCATAAGCCATCATTTTACGTCATGGATATCATCGTTATGGTTATCATCATCAACAACAACAGATTTGGTTGACACATTGATATTCATAGATACTGAATGTTGACCTACAGCTGTAGTCGAGATGTAGAAAAGTTTTGTATCACAACCAGTTAGTGATTATGTTTGACGATTCGAATATCGGTTTGATGCGTCATTAAGTTTTTGTATTACTCCTCAGTGTGCATACGCATACGATTATAATTGACGTTGGTCATGTATTGCTAATTGGAACATATTTTACACCTTGTGTATATACGCTTCATTGATCATTTGTTTGATGAAGGTGACAGAGTACGTACAAATCGAAACGTCACACGTTAACACTTACTGGTTTTGATACATAACCTTTCTACAATTCATACATTTCAATCTGAAGCAAATGTTTACATTTACTATACCATAAAACTACAGTCCTTAATAGGTATAAATAATAGTTTTATTTCTGTTGTACATTCAGATATAAGCTACCTGTTTGATTCACAAGCTACGATAACTTCCTTACTCCAAATTTGTAATTGTTTTTATTGTGTCTTCCATTGAATTTTCCATGTTTTACTAAGCTCCTGCAGTTATAATAGTGAAAGGTAATTGTATTCGCATACTTTTGGTTTGTTTGTGGTCCTATTAACAGCTATGGTGATTTAAGGACTTGCAAGGTTTTGGTGATGGAGGAAATCCGGAGTTCCCGGAGAAAAACCACTGACCTACGGCGAGTACCTAGCGACTGACCCACGGAGGCCTCGAACCCGCGCCTTAACCACTTGACCACCGCAACCCCTATAATCGCATAAGCTTTCCATGCACGTTATACATTTGTACTTGAGAACTCATTTTATTTCATAAGATACATAAAAGACGAAAGCCGATTACAATTTCAAAAAAGTTCAGAACCTTCCATGGTCCACACACCTATGCTTAATGCTATATAGAGGTAGCAAACACAACTTGGTTACTACAAAATATATTTAAATCGACATTTCCAGCAGAAATGCATTTCATTTAAGTATATTAACATTTGTGCTGCAATCCACTTTATAAACATTACCAGCAGAAATGCATTTATTAACCTTGTTCAATGAGAGCCTAGTTGCCGCGCTTCGGATAACATGGAGAATGCCCCTGCGTCAAACGCTCAAATGACTACGGTTGATTATTAGCGCCAATTTTATCTAAACAGGGATGTTCCGCCAATGTCCTTTAAAGGACGACGAGTATACAAAACGCAGTTTAGACATTAATTATTTAAGAACAAGGAAATAATATTAAACAATTGTTCTCTAGTAAAAATATAAAAATATGGATTGAATGGCTTTTTTTCAAATTGTCATGCCTAGCGGGCTCCATGCAATATGGATGTCACCGATTAGCGTGCATACCGGCATGTACATTTTAAAAACGCCGTTCAATCCCTATGTAAACATGATCAAAGATAAGGAACCAAACCCACACAAGCTTATATGAAATATTGTAAGGATGTAAGCAATATAAGGTTTCCAAATAACCTGTTTGTTAAACCGGAATGGGCGATGTCCCTTAAACATCACAAATGTCTAATCATTACTGCAGTATTAAAAAACTACAGTCAGGTGAACTATGGAAAATCGAAAGCTTTTAAGTTTTTCTACTCACACAATCTACATTGTTGAAATCATTAAACTGTTGACGTCAATGAATATCATTACTTGTGTATAATTTTTATTTCATGTAGATTTATTTGATTTTTGGCGTAGAACCCTTTTGGAAAAGCATACATGTCAGGGGCCGAGGTGGCCAACTGGTTAAGGCGTCTGACATTCTGCTACCACTAGCCCTTCTTCACTGGGTCGCGGGTTCGAGGCCTACATGGGTGAGGTACCAGGTACTACCGCAGGTTGGTGGGTTTTTCTTCCGGTACTCCGGCTTTCCTCCACCACCAGAACCTGGCACGTCCTTAAATGACCATAGCTGGTAATAGGACGTAAAATACAATTAAACCAATTGATATATTTTTGTGGCGACATGTCGTGAGATTATCGACTTATCGTGATATCTTTATTGTTAAATAAATGCCCAGGCAACTCTTTTTAATATCAACTAAGCATGCTTTATAATTTACCGTAAAACAAATCATCGTGAAATACGACCCAGTTTCTATACTGTTGCAGTCTTTCAAGGACATACCAGCACTACATCTAACACTTTGAAGTCCATATTACACCGACGAAACTAATTAATTAAGGATTAATTGTTAAAATAAATTGTCCATATGGTTGAATACGTTTTGCGGTTTATTTAATTAGAGATTACGCTTACAAGAATACTCTCATATTCAACAATCAATATTCAGTGCTTATTCATAATGCTTGAACGTAAAACATGAACTTGAGTCATGATAAACAAACTACCTTATATTCCCCCATTGTCAAATAACAAAGCCATGTGTATCTCGATTAATGAGATAAGCGGCACTTTTTTAATTAATATTTAAATCCAATTTCTCGCCACTCCCCATAAAAAATCATTGATATAAGAGGTTGGTATGATCTATATGTAAGCGTTGCCACTCCTAACCATATGGGTAATTAGTTTTAGAGCTGGTATACATCTATGTAATTGGAACATTTATAAAGCCAGCACTTAGTGACATTAAGGATGAAGGTATCACGCTCATGGTTGATTACACTTGGTAATGGATGCAGTATGTCAAACATTACGCTTCATGAGTTTAATTATCTCCAACAAAGAAGATTTCACATGGATAATAGTATTAGTTATAATTATGAAACAAAAATGGCTTACAATCACCATTATACACTAAACAAGAGGATAATCATCGCAATGTGCACATAAATGAATAAATAAAGGGTGGTATGTACATGACGTCTGTGCAAAGAGTTTAATATGCAGATGTGAAGAGGTGAGTTTTGATGTCCTTCGTGAATTTGGCCAGGGTAAGCTATTCCACAACGTGGCCAAAACCCTCCCAAAGCACCGTTTTCCATAGGTCACAGTACTAGATTTTGGGACACACAACAATGATTCTGTTCCGATCGCAGTGATCGTGACGGCTAATACAGGGAAACAAGCTCCTGTATGTATTGGGGAGCTGTTCCATTCAGTGTCTTGTATGTGTACACCAAAATGTTGTACTTCTACCTGTATCGTACAGGTAACTAGTGCAATGAATATAGCACAGGTGTGATGTGATCCGTCTTTCGAGTACGAGTAACCAGACGTGCTGCAGTGTTCTGGACCCTCTGCAGACGACTAGTTAGTTTGTCAGATATACCACAGAGCAGGGCGTTACCATAGTCTAATCGAGAGGTAACAAAAGAATGCACCAAAACCTTGCATGCATCTGTAGTTATAAACTGCTGGATACAGCCGATGTTCCTGGTCTGGTAGTAACAGGATTTGGCAATAGCGTTCACTTGTTTCTCCATGTTCAGTGAACTATCAAAGTATACCCCTAGGTTTTTAACAGCTGGGACAGTCTCAATAGTTCTGGCACTGACCTTGAGCTGAAGAGCCATTGTTTGCTGACACTTAAGAGAAAATACGATTAGTTCCGTCTTATCCTGATTAAGCTTTAGCATGTTGACGTTCATCCAGGTACTGAAATCTGTCAGAAAAGCTTTCAGATTTTCTGAAATTGTATCCCAACTGTCCTGTGGTTTGATTACCATCTAAATGTGTGTGTCATCAGCATAGCAACGATAGCGAAGGCTATGGTGACGACAAATCTCTCCGATCGGTTTGGAGTACAGGCAATATTTTTGTGGTCTTAACACCGACCCTTGAGGAACCCCGAAATCTAGTACTTTTTCATTTGAGGTGGTAGATCCGATAGCAACACACTATCATCGTTCACTCAGATAAAACTGTACCCAGCATAGTGCGGTATCAGTCACTCCATAAAAGTACTCCATACGTTTATAAAGTATGCCATGGTCGATGACGTCAAATGCAGCTGACAAATCCAGCATGACAAGCACCTCCCTGCACTTGTTATCTAATGCAGAAGCTATGCCATTATGTACACGTAGGAGGGCCGTCTCAGTAGTGTCCCATGCGGTAGGCCGATACCAGATTTTCTGAATCTGTATCCCAACTGACCTGTGGTTTGCTACAGACCTAGAAACTACATATCAGCAGAGTGCTTTATTATGTTTGCGAAACAAATGCCAAAATAAGGAGGCTCAAAAATACTACTGAAAATTATATACAAATATTTTGATTATTTTCAATGGTTTCCGTTTGTCACAAAAGTGATTTAGAATAGAAAATTAGGTCAAATTTTCCCAAAGAACTTAATATTTGTTTTCAGTAATGGGCAAAATGCTAATGATTTCTGTACTGCAGGCAATCAGTGGGAATTGTGTCAATCACAACTGCAGTAACGAGGAGAGGTGCATGGACTTCACCAACGAGCCTGTTCGATGTCAGACTTTTGGTGAGTAGATAATTCTACTTTCAGGATATTTCAATTTCTACTAAACTTCGAATCAATACAGCATAGTGCTTTAAATTCGCGAGGTCAATGTTTCGCGATTCGCAGGGGTAACAGTTTGCAGTGAACACCCGCTTTGACATTTCACACATCACTTACATATCTGTTGTGTTTGTTGGGTTCTTGAGCATAAATACACATATCAGATTGAACACACTGCTGCTAGCCATCTTTAATGGCGGGCTCATGACACTTTCACAAATTTTAACATGCGCAGCATAAACCGGAAACATGCGGCACCGTTAGGGAGTGACTACATTCAGGATAATAATCCGGATAGAAACTAGTCTATACATAACAGTATCAAAACAATTTGAAATCACCAGTGACTTAACACGAAATAAGTCACTGTTGTGGAAGTGATACTATAGTGTAGGCCAATGTGCCTTTGGACAAGATATCGTACACAGGTAAGTACAAAAATACTATAGTACATATACGTAATCGGAGTGAGCTAAATGTAATCATACATTGGTTTTCCTTCCACGATTATCTAACTAACACTCGTATGATTGGTGAGATTTGTGTTGTTTTTACTTGACTTTAAGTTGTCAGCTGATCAGTGTGTTATGATATGGTATGGCTAGAAAGAGCAGCCTGAGATAAATCAGTAAGAGTTACTTCCCTTTGTGGGGTAATCCGGAATATTATGTAAAGAATTGTAAACGATTAGAATATTAGAAGAGTAATAAAAACCAAGATGGAAGATCAGAGCAAGCAACGGTTTCACGTGTTTTTCTATTCTTTACTGCCAAGCGAATGTTAAAATCTCCTGCAAACGCTACAAGTGATATATCATTTAGGCACGTTAATTGTCGGCAGAAGTTTATTTAAGGTAGATAACTCTGGTACTTCCGGCGGAATAGTTACAAACCTCGCCGGTAAAGCTGCATTTGGTATATTTTACAAAAAGCTCTGAAATACAAGAACGACATTTCATCAGTTTGTTTGGGGACTCATTAGGAGCACAATCTTGTCAGAAGTGTCTCCCATGCTCTGATTTTATTTCAGTTCTAACACCAATTTTCATTGGAGAAAGAATTACTTAATATGTTTAGCTGACCATGGTTTATTCTTATATAGGAATATGTTTGGAAACCAATCCTCTATTTCGGGTTAATTAAAATGCACTTTAAATGTATGTCACTGTGTTGTTTTTTTATTAGGTACATGTAACAATACGGTTCTATGACGGTGTTACCTCCTCATAACGTCAGTGATTGGTTTAAAGTTTCGCTGATATTTCAAATTCGCGAGCTTTGGGTAAAACGCAAATAGAGCAAAAATAAAACCCGTGAAAAATAACCGCTATACAGTATACCTACTAAATATTATGAAGGTGATTTATTTCAGTCGGCGTAAGAATACGTTAACACATTATGTATGTAGCGTTTCAAAGCCATCGCATCAATTTCTGTTTTGCATTATTACGTCATACATGAGCGACATCAAACAATGAAGGATCCTTTTATTATTTGACTTAGAATATCAAGTATTTTTGTAAATAAAGACGATGCAGATAGACTGATGATCCTTAAAGACACACTGCTGTCTTCCGTTTGTCTACAAGTCTTTACTATGTCACTGACTTGCTGACAATAAACTGTCACTCAAGTGAAGAAAAACACGAAACTGACCAAGGTATATGTGTGTCATAATAGGGTAAAACATTGTACAAAGAAAACCAGTTTATTTATTACAACTCACTCCAATCATGTACATGTTCTATAGCATACAAGTACTTACCTGTTTCAAGAAAAGCTCCAGACGAACAACTTTAGGCAAAACTTCTTTTTTGTTGTTTACAACTGTTAAAACTATCGTCCAAAAATGTATAGCTATATCTAATTCGTATGCATACTTTTAAAATGTCGTATAAAGAACTTGTTTTTCGAGGGCAATTTTTATCAGATTTAATTTTTAATTTTCAATTACTCTGTGGGTAACTAAATGACGTATCACTTGTGTGGAAATTTGCTTTGTATTAATTGAATAATCGCCAGAAGCAAGTCCATGAAACAAAAGGAATAAACAGTAGGTATTCAGTAAAGTGACGTCACAGTGTGATTAAACATATTGTGTAGAAGAGCTTGATATGAAACAAAGTTTTTCTCTCTCTCGACAGAATGCCCTCCGTATGTCGGAATAACCCATTCCATCGAAACCTCGACTGGAGCTCGTGCTTTCGGACAGGAGTTCCCTATCGTCTGCCCAGGTGGCTTCCTGCCTAATTTCGTAAAGACCACGTGCGGGGAAGATGGACAGTGGACCATGCTAACCAGCGTGTCGTGTCTTAGTAAGAATCTTCACATTTTGTATTGACCACTGCAAGACCAGGGCCATTATTCATGAAACTGTTCTTATGCTCAAGCAAGCATTATGTGCTCAAACAAATCTTCTTGTAACTCTGTTATTTTACTCTGGCGTGAATTCCAAACCGGCAACAAAATCCTCGCTAATACGTCACAGGAGAAACATTCACAAAACGGAGAACTCGTGAAACTGTACTCTCGTCTTCTACACAACCTCCTACGTTTTATTATGTTTCGGGTCGTTTTAAATATTCCTTTCGTGTCATTCGACTCATACCTAATATTGGACTGTTGGCCCTTTGAACAATCATACTATTTTTACAAATTTACGAATTTGGTTTTAGACACGAACGGAAAACGGTATTGATAGGTTCCCTGTGCTGAAGTCATCTTCGAAAGTCCAGGAGTTACGCTCATTTACGTTCTCTGCATCCCCGTGATATTTCAATATGACGACAGGTTCACGCTTCTAATGTTTTCACGGCTCGTCATGACATCATAACAACACACATAACATTGTTCTATGCATGAAATCTCTTATGACGATATACAAACAGTATAAAGTATTTACACTGCATACTACTCGATGTTGGAGTTACACACACTATCGGAACTTTAATTGCGAGTTACCTCCCGTTGAACGCTGTAATGCTGTTATAAGTTATAAATCTTAATAGCTACCTTCTACGTAATGCAATCTGCGACGTTATTTTATGAAATATATTTCTTGTTATCATGATTGTGTTCCTTTTTTTATTTTACAGACTGTACCACACCTATCTATAAAAACAACACCATTGTATCCTGCTACAACTACCCCAGTCTTGCGAAGCAAACTTACGCTTCTGCTAAAAATGTGTGCGAGGCGGTCGGAGGAAAGCTTCCCCGGATTGACGGCGAAGTCAGCGACTCGTACTTCAGGACAGCTACAGGTTAGGCATTGAAAAAGTACAGTAAAACCTCGCTATACTGTCACCATTTTTCCAGTGGAAAAATGGCATAATAAAGGGGTTTGGCGATAAATTGAGGGGGAAATATAAAGGATTGTTTACGAAACGAAATGAGCTATGAAATAAGTTGGCGGTTAGCGAGGGGACAAATGAAACGAGGGGCATTATATCGAGGTCTTAATGTATGTGTCTGTTCACGGTAATGACTAGGAAAATATGATATGATTATATAATTTCTTTTTTTCTATGTTGAATAATTTGACATTTGACTTTCGTTTCTGTATCACAGGAAACATCGTGAACTTTGCCTTCTATGCATGAAATATTATCCTTCCAGATTAATACATGGTTTCGCCTTTGATTTGTTGTGAAGGATCACATTGTGTTTCGTTTTGTGTTCATATCACTTCAGTTCCTGGTGTTGTCTTTTTGGTGTTACCATTAAGCTACTATTTTGAAACTGTGTTCATATTTTGTTATTAGTCTATTTAAGTGGATCGTCGTTTCGTTTGTTTTTTCTCGGTGTTCGTGAAGTATTTTCGCGGTCCTCATAGCTGTCGTTCTGTGGGGGCTTTGAAATAAATTCCGATTGCGTCACCATGTATAATTTTCTCTGAAAGAATTCGTGGGTTTTTTTCTTTATACTTTTTTTGTTCGCAAATTGTTGACATTTACTTGAACATTGAGTTTTTATTTTTACGAATTTGTGTAAATCAAGTGTTTTTCTGTTTTACTTTCAGATGGCGTCTACTGGATTGAAGGTGGTACTGAGACGGACGCGGACAGTATGCAGTATGACGATGGGACCGTCATTACCTACAGGAACTACGAGGTCACCAACACTACAATATGTGGGGTAAATGCTACCGAGTGTGGAATAGCTATGAGTAGCTCTGCTAACGACAACCAAATGTTCATCAAAGACAAAACAACGGACCCTCAACTTGTCGTGTGTCAGATGGTTCTGGGATAGACCAAGTGAGCACGTGACTTTTGTTTCCAGCAGAACGCCTGAGACAATTTGAATCAATGTGTATCGCATTTGTGTGTCCATTTCACATCGGCTGAGCATCAGAAATTTACTGCAAATTATGTACCTTGTACCAGACATTGTGCTTTAAATATTATGTATCGCACATTATGTATCCCGTAATCTGTACCGGATATTAAGTATCAAATATTATGCATTAAGTGTTGTGCATTTCATGCAACATATACAGTGCATAAAACTGTATGCAAAACGCAATATTTACCATCGTATGGCATTGCCACTATATAACCCTACCAAATTCAGTTGGCATTCATGTAGGCTATGAATGCCATGGACCGATTGTTGACGTCATCATTGTTACGTGGATACCACTGACTCTACCAGGGCGAAGGCTGTTCAGTTAGTTAAACAAGCATACACGATACATACATTTTATTTGAACTAAATGCTGAATGATAATAAGTGTAATAGATTTTTTATGAGATGAACATATTACAAAAAAATGTAAATATAAATAATGAACTGCTTTATTATGCACGAAACATTGCACACTTAAGCAATATATGTATGTAATGTGGCTTTTATGTTTGTGTCATCATATTTTAATTTGTAAGTCATTTGCTATATAACTACTACTGCTTCTGCTACCGGTGACTTAAAGAAAATACCAGTGACTTAAAGAAAATAGCCAATTTTACCACTTTCAAACGAAAACTTACTAAATACTGTATAGCAATGTCTTAGATTTTAACTTGTTTCTCCATGTAAACAAAACTTGTAACTTTCTAAATAGACTTCTTATCTAAATTATATCAATATTTTAGATTATGCTTTATTAGCGTATAACTATGTCAATTTTTATTGTTTGCTATATTAGCATGTATGTATATTAGGCACATGCCATTTAATTGATGAAATACCTTTGCATGAAACTTTATGCATTCTGTGATACTCTTAACTAAGATAACTGTGATATAACCTTATATATGTCGATTGCATCAATATATATGTAACTTTTAACTCGCACATGTATTTCACTAGCAAGATTACCATGTTTATTTATATATCGATTGCGTAAATATGTTATTTTATCTAACACATGTATTTTACTAACAAGAGGACCATGTGGAAGATTAGCCTTTGGCTAAACATGTATTTTATCCTCAATAAATAAAGTTTATTATTATTATTATTACTGTATATATCTATATAAATGTGTCATTCGGTCGTGACCTCCGGGGGATAGAACCACGAATTTTAATACCGCGAACATAGCAAACAAAGAATCCGCGTAAACTTTCTTTTATATACATTATGTAAACTAGAACCGCGAAATAAAGATACCGCAAAAGCTGAATTTTGTATTAGTATATAGTCATTTATAGAATTGCTATCGACACCGATACATTTAACTATGTAACGCTTTATAGATGTGATAAGTTGTGAGATTAAATTTGACCAGACGATTGTAATGTTAGATAAATTGTCAATTGTAATGCTAGATGCCTGTTTCCCTATTTCTTTGATATGTCCTTAAATGAACATACAGAAAAAGTTTCGCCCTGCTATTTTTAGATATATTTCTCCAACTACAGGATGGTTTTACTGAACTACCTCTTCCATTTATCTGACAGATTTTCAATATTTTTGATTTCGTGTTGAATTTTACCTCTAGCTCAAAGGCAAAAAACGTGGCGAATATTTCCTGTTTCACAGTTAATTGTCGAGAATTTGAAGTTAGTGCAATAATGACCAGTGAGTTGGATTTTTTATGTCATTGAAATGAATATATGTACAGCTACATTTTGTCTTTAAATACACTGTTGAGTTTTTTAAATAAATTGACGAGTTCCACATTCTATTTTATTTTATTTTTAAATAAAGATTTTGCATCCACGAAATGATTTGTTTTAAAACCGTAACACAAAAAATCTGCAAATTGAATTTCAGTTTTATTTATGTTTATATTTACTGATTTACTTATACTTATTTGCATATAGATAACCTATTCTACGTCTTAACTGTCGCGTAAAGATGTATAATATCACTTTCTTATTCACCTTTTAGACAAAAGCATTCACACCGACAAGAGTTATCTCGCTTAGTTCGTTGCCAAAACTATTTTGCCGAGGTGCATTCGGAGCGAAAACGGAGTAAGATGGACACCATTTTCAATCAGTAGTGCCTGCCGTTGACCTTATTGATATATTTCAACACATATTATTTGTTTAAAAGCACTTGAGCGCTCAATATGAATATTTAAGACTATACTAGACAAAATAGGATCATTTAAAATATATCAAGAAATATGCATATTTAAAACGTTATATTTCTAAAGTTCGATCCTAACAACTTTCCATTCAATGTTGCATTCGAATAGAAATGTTGCTTATTTATCACTTTGGTAAATTATCAGCAGTTTCAACTTTTATAACTTTTTTGGATCTCGTGTATGCTTTTGTTTAATCGAAGACATGGATTTGTTTTCTTTTTTTTCTTAATATTTCTAAAAGATTTATTTTAATCTTCCTCGCGTGGCAGGGGTGAAAAGTGATTCGTGTGTGAATGACTTTGTCAGTATACTTTCCAAACCATTTCCGATCCAGAACAAACATGAACGTACCTTTAAACACTATTTAGTACATTTAAGTTAACGTACAACTGATCATATTACATTATAGGGGCGGCAGTCTGCTATAGTGGTAGTATAGGATGCCGGGCTCGTGACCGAATGCTTGGGGGTTCGAATCCCGTCACGGCATTGTGTTGTAACCTTTGAACAAGATACTTAACTTCGCTTGTTTCAGTCTACTCAGCTGTAAATGAGCACGTGGTTGGGCAGTGCTGGAATTGTTTAATGCTAGCTGTGAGCGTCTAAGTAGTAGCACCGGCTGTATGCTCCCCAGGGAGATAAAACAGATATTGGCTGGTTGCAAAGGATAATAAAGGATAATGATTTGTGAAAGGCTTTGAAACGAGCTAGGTTGTGATAAAGCGGTATATAAGAACCTCGAATTATATATTGATAAATCTAACATGAAATCATCCTTATTTGTAATTACAAACTTAATTTGGGTAACAAGATATATATAGTAATATGAACATCATTACCAAATATATTTAACAAAAGACAATATTTCACGGCAAATGATATGTATATAATATAAATGGCTGAGAACCAACGAATGACAGCAAATGAATGATACGAAATGTAAACAAGAGTTATTTTCCTTTCGACATGCCAAACGTGTTTAATTACTGCGTGAAGTTAACAAGACTACCACCTGTCTATAACTACCACCTGTCTATATCTACCTCCTGTCTATAACTACCACCTGTCTATCACTACCACCTGTCTACACCTATCACCTGTANTATATATAAAACCTGTCTTTAACTACCACCTGTATATACATATCACCTGTCTATAACTTCCATCCGTATATATCTACCACCTGTCTATAAGTACCACTTGTCTATAACTATCACCTTTCTATATCTACCACCTGTCTTTAACTACCACTTGTCTATACATAACACCTGTCTATAACTATCACCTGTCTATATCTAAAACCTGTCTATAACTACCACCTGTATATACCTATCACTTGTCTATAACTTACATACGTATATATCTACCACCTGTCTATAACTACAGTGTACCACCTGTCTATAACTTCCATCCGTATATATCTACCACCTGTCTTTAACTACCACCTGTCTATAACTACCACCTGTCTATGTCTACCACCTGTCTATAACTACCACCTGTCTATATCTTCCACCTGTCTATAACTAACACCTGTCTATAACTACCACCTGTCTATATCTACCACCTGTCTATAACTACCACCTGTATATAACTACAGTGTACCACCTGTCTATAACTTCCATCCGTATATATCTACCACCTGTCTATAACTACCACCTGTCTATAACTACCACCTGTCTATAACTAACACCTGTCTATAACTACCACTTGTCTATATCTACCACTTGTCTATATCTACCACCTGTATATAACTACCACCTGTCTATAACTACCACCTGTCTATATCTACCACCTGTCTATAACTACAGTGTACCACCTGTCTATAACTACAGTGTACCGCCTGTCTATAACTTCCATCCGTATAGATCTACCCCCTGTCTATAACTACCACCTGTTTATATCTACCACCTGTCGATATCTACCACCTGTCTATATATACCACCTGTCTATAGCTACCACCTGTCTATATCTTCAACCTATCTATAACTAACACCTGTCTATAACTACCACTTGACTATATCTACCACTTGTCTATATCTACCACCTGTCTAAATCTACCGCCTGTCTATAACTACAGTGTACCACCTGTCTATAACTACAGTGTACCGCCTGTCTATAACTTCCATCCGTATAGATCTACCACCTGTCTATAACTACCACCTGTCTATATCTACCACCTGTCTATATCTACCACCTGTCTATAACTACAGTGTACCACTTGTCTATATCTACCACCTGTCTAAATCTACCACCTGTCTATAACTACAGTGTACCACCTGTCTATATCTACCACCTGTCTATATCTACCACCTGTCTATATCTACCACATGTCTATAAATACCACCTGTCTACAACTACAGTGTACCACCTGTCTATAACTACAGTGTACCACCTATCTATAACTACAGTGTACCACCTGTCTATATCTACAGTGTACCACCTGTCTATATCTACAGTGTACCACCTGTCTATAACTTTCATACGTATATATCTACCACCTGTCTATATATACAGTGTACCACCTGTCTATAACTTCCATACGTATATATCTACCATCTGTCTATATCTACAGTGTACCACCTGTCTATAACTACAGTGTACCACCTGTCTAAAACTACTACCTGTCTATTACTACCACCTGTCTATACCTACCACATGTCTATCACTACCACCTGTCTATAACTATACCACCTATAACTACCACCTGTCTATCACTACCACCTGTCTATAACTATACCACCTATAACTACCACCTGTCTATAAATACAGTGTACCACCTGTCTATATCTACAGTTTACCACCTGTCTATAACTTTCATACGTTTATATCTACCACCTGTCTATAACTACCTCCTGACTATAACTACCACCTGTCTATTACTACCACCTGTCTATACCTACCACCTGTCTATAACTACCTCCTGTCTATAACTACCACCTGTCTATAACTACAATGTACCACCTGTCTAAAACTACTACCTGTCTATTACTACCACCTGTCTATAACTACAGTGTACCACCTGTCTATAACTACCACCTGTCTATAACTACTACCTGTATAAAACTACAGTGAACCACATGTCTATATCTATCCCCTGTCTATAACTACCACCTGTCTATAACTACAATGTACCACCTGTCTAAAACTACTACCTGTCTATTACTACCACCTGTCTATAACTACCTCCTGTCTATAACTACCACCTGTCTATAACTACTACCTGTATAAAACTACAGTGAACCACATGTCTATATCTATCCCCTGTCTATAACTACCTCCTGTCTATAACTACTACCTGTATATAACTACAGTGTACCACATGTCTATATCTATCACCTGTCTATAACTACCACCTGTCTATATCTACGACCTGTCTATAACTACCACCTGTCTATAACTACTACCTGTATATAACTACAGTGAACCACATGTCTATATCTATCACCTGTCTATAACTACCACCTGTCTATAACTACAGTGTACCACCTGTCTATATCTACAGTGTACCACCTGTCTATAACTACCACCTGCCTATAACTACCACCTGTCTATAACTACCATCTGTCTATAACTACAGTGTACCACCTGTCTATATCTACAGTGTACCACCTGTCTATAACTACCACCTGACTATAACTACAGTGTACCACCTGTCTATAACTTCCATACGTATATATCTACCCCCTGTCTATAACTACTACCTGTCTATAACTACCACCTGTCTATAACTATAGTGTACCGCCTGTCTACATCTATATTATGTTCTTAACTACCACCGATACATCTTTGGCTTTATGTTTAGACAGGTTGTTATAATGGGCAAGTAGACACTAGCTACACTAGGGTGGCTGCTTAAGACAGGTTCTCTCCAGGTCAGGTTTGCTTGGTTTCGGTATTTACAAGTCCCACCTGTGTAGTTCGGGACGTTTGGTCTAGAAAAGCTGTGATTGGTTGATCAATTATTAACTATGCGGACGCCTTGGTTTTTTATCTTTTAGTCCAGAGGGATTTCGAATGATGGGTATCTCTGAAAACAATCCATAAAATTACGATTATTTGTGTAGACTCAGGTAATAAAGAAGTGATGGGATGGTGAACGAGAAGGAGAACAAAGCATTAATATATATTCAATACACCAAATTAGACAAATAAAATATATGAGAACGGGTATATAATTATAGAAAAGAGGTAGGGAGGTGAGGAGGGACTAGGGGTAGGAATTTTAAACATGTACATGAATATAGTGCAATATAAAAAACATTCCTATGTATATTCTTCTGCTGTGTCCCAGGAATTTATCTTACCGTCAGCATTATAAATCATGCATGTACTTTATCTTTGTAGTCATGAAATGTTGTTTTCCTCTCTTTTTATAGATCTTTCTTGATCTTGTATTCTATTTCCATCCTACATCCATGGTTCGTACAGACGTATATTTTTACCTACTATTGACCCCGACTATTGCAGGCATCCGTATAACGACTTTTGTCTCAAACTTGCTCCTGGCAGGTAAAAGTGGTTTAGATCTATGAGAGGATGATACTTCACTGAGTCAGATAGAAAACCAGTGCTGTCATCTCAATTTATATGTATTTATTTATTGACTGGTATTAGGGAGAACAATTTTTTCTACTTCCTCTATGTATAGCGAATGGGATATTTCAAGTCTGATGCGTTTATCTTTTACGTTGCAACTTGTGTCTGTTAAAAAATAAGTTCTGTCGATGATTTAGTATTGTGAATTTGTCGGAACTCCCTATACTGGAGAAGTGCATAGATTCTGTTATCCTTATGGCAAATGCTTCAACAATGGAGTGTTTGGGGATACGCTTTCTGTGTGGATAGTAAGTAACGTATATAATACGATTTTCTCTACCATAAACACATAGCATCGATACAAAATTATTTACTACGTCATTTTTTCGAAATATGCAAATTTCATTTGTGGATGTATTTAGACATTGATTTGTGATATTGTTTTAGTAGATACATCGTATATTTTTCGTATTTCGTGGATACAACGCATTTTTGTAGCAACACCGTGTAGAACATTTTGGATACAAAGCATTTTTGTAGATAAACAGTGCAGAAGTTTGCAGAAACAATTTTTTTTTTGTAAATGTATCATTTGTGTGGATATATCATAGCACTTCTGTGGAAACGTCATATACAATAGCACCTTTGTGCATAGATTACATTTTTTGGTGGGAGGGGTCTGTTTGTTTGTTTTTCCTCTCTCTCTCTCTCTCTCTCTCTCTCTCTCTCTCTCTGTCTCTCTCTCTCTCTCTTAGATGTACTCACAATCTCTGCCTGTTGTCTATGACACTTAACGCGGGAAAACAACGCGGAAGGGATGAATTGAGCAGATTTGATTGAGCACCTGTCCTATCTGAGCGCGACATGATCCGGGGAAATTGAAGTGGGCCGTTATCATAAGAGGGCAACGCTATCTTGTTTAAGATTTAAATACCGCTGTTCCCTCTACAGTATAACTTCTTGATATGCTTGGTCAATATTGTACATGTTCTTGTTATTACCTGGTAGATGTACCCTGAGCTCAATCGACAGTGGACACAAGATCAAAATCTTGCAGTCAGTTTGTATTGAACAAGAAGCGGACAAATTTACATAGAAATTGTAATGTCTATTTGACTCTTTGATTTGAGGAAGAAGTTTTTGTGTGGTTAGTATTCTATGTCACATTTATGTGGACATTCAGGTATTTAAATATGTGAAAAATCACTTAGAACTGTGTGGTCAGTTCGGACTTAAATTATTTCTCCGGCCATTAAGGTCAGTCAATATACATTCTTAACGGCTATTACGTCATAGCGGTCAACAAAGTCTCATATAACACGTGTTTGTGTAGTTTATTTCATTTTTGAGATTAGTATTATAAGTTCATACATTTTGCTTGACCAGTAGAGTTGGACTCGAGCGGTCAAGACAAGGAAAAGTGCCAACAACATAATCTAACTTCCACGAGACTTTTTTTCTGAAAACTATTTCCGGCGTTTCTTTGGAAAGTCGTAACCATGGACGCAGTGAAGCCACCGGATATTGAAATTACTGCGCCGGAACCAGTCGTTGCACCGGAAGTTCCACAGCCGTCAGATAGTTTCCAGGAGAAACCCCCAGAAACGTAAGTAAGAAACCCGCAAAAGCAAGGGATATCGTTTAATTGTATTTGGTTTTTAATGAATGTCAGCTAACATCGACCACTGTTTAAAACGGCCTCTTAAATTACGGTCCCGCTTTAGCCAGAGGTCAACATATAGAATAGTCGCTACAGAAAAATGTCGATATAGATATAGGTCACTATAAACAAGATTCGATGTAGTCAGATTTCGCCACAGCTAGCGGTCAATATAAACAGGGTTGCTACCGACAGAGACCGAGAAAGGCAGTGATCATTATAAACAGTGGCCGATATATAGAGTGGTCGCAACAGGCAGGTGTAAATATGGATAGTGGTCGCATAGAGAGAACATGGCAGGTAACACAGTATGAAAGCATGGCTACAAGATTTTTATTTTTAGAATCCAACGCTATTAATAAACACCGATCTCGGAACACTCCCTTCCAAAGCAATCTATGTAACATTTTGCGTTATTTTTAGACTGGTATGTGACAAATGAACGCCTGTCAATTTCCTATACAGGTTTTATACAGGTGACCTCTATCGCCAAGGTTTCATTTACACATTTGTGACCTAATTATATTCATAGACGGGTGACCTCTGTATACCGGTTTAGCTTATACATGTACATACGTGATATCATTAAATGGTTTTAATACACAAGGGATTTATATAGACGTATGTCTATCTGTACAGATAGACAAATGGTGTTTATGGACAAATGTTACTTTTAAGTGTAACAAAGGTCATTAGTTTTCCACGGTAGTCTAGTGGTACATGTAGGACGCCAGGCTCGTGACAGAAGGGTTGCGGGTTCGAGTCAAGGCACGCCACTGTGTTGTATCTTCGAGCAAAATACTTTACTCCGCATATTCCAGTCTACTCAGCTGTAAATGAGTACGTGGTTTGGCAGTGCTAGAATTGTTGAATGCTAGCTGTGAGCGTCTAAATGGCAGCATAGACTGTATTGCTCCCCAGGGAGTTGAGAAAGATGTTGGCTGGTTGCAAAAGCCCTGTAACCTCCACGGATAATAATTTGTGAACCGCTTTGAGACGACCTAGGTTGTGATAAAAAAGCAGTAAGAACCTCGAATTATTATTATTATTAGGAGTCGAACCCGGGACCTCTGGCTTACTAGTCTTACGCTCTACTGAATGAGCTAACGAGAAATTATCTCTAGCCGAGTCGGTAGGAAGCAGCTAGTATTTTACCAGGGCGACAGGTGGTCTTTATAGACAGGTGTTCTATGATGTTGCCTTAGCTATTTATGATTAAGCAATAGAGCGTACATTGTGAGACATATAAGTAATAGAGCGTACATTGTGAGACATATAAATAATACAGCGTACATTGTGAGACATATAAATAAGAGAGCGTACATTGTGAGACATATAAGTAATAGAGCGTACATTGTGAGACATATAAGCAATAGAGCGTACATTGTGAGACATATTCGCTTTCTATGTAACGGCTGAAGTAGCCTACTCAACTAGAATCATTTCTTAACGATTTGCAGCGATATAAACATTAGATGAAATGAGTTAGCCGAGTATCTTCAGCTACTATGATTATGCTGCCCCCGATCCCAAACTAAAAACCCACCCAATACCCTTATGTGACACATTGATTGTTAAGAATGCAGAACAAAGCATGAATGTCTTTATAACTTGTATAGTAAATATTAAGTTCGTTTGTTCTAATTGTCATTGTTTTGACGCAAAATAGTTTCATCATTTTGCCAGTTTCGTCTGTCAACTGTAACGTACATTTCATAATGGCTGTCCATTACAGTACGACGTCGTAGAATTTGTATTCATTTTGCAAAGAGAGTAAGTTTTGTTTTCAATTCCCTTTTTTCTCCCACACTTCACAGGTGCGTCCCGTTTTATGCTAGGGAGAAGATCTGCCTAGAGAAAAGAAAACTTACACACGCGCTTAAGTCTGAAAACGTCATCATCGCGTCATCACTTTATGCAGTGTAACTAGGGTAATAACATCAATTTTGGCAAGAATTTCATACGCAATATATGATGGTGTGGTGCACTAGTTTCAGAACAATATTTCAACATAACAACCTATTTTTATGCTAAAAAGGTTTGGGAGAAAATTATTCAATAACTCCTGTGTGCTGTAGACAGAGAAATCAGAACCATCGGGATGAGCCTCGTGCTAAACTTAAACAATTCTATCTCGAGGGTTCAGATTTCTCTATCTACATCACAAAAGAGTGATAGGTTCTATTTATCTATCATACATTTTACCGAAATAATTTTATACTTTTAATCGATCTCTGCTATGTGTCAGCAGAGAACTAGATCAGATACAAGTCCGTGGTATCAGTATATGTTTTTTTTATATCACAAGCATACTGCCGAGGTGGGGGAGCCCCGGGATCAGAATCTTCACAAACATATGTCCTCATACAAGAGGGCTATCATACCTTCTTTCATACTTACTAGTAATTATATTATTCTTTTTCTTTATTTTTTCACTGTCTTCCTTAACACTCATACTTACATTCATACTTACATTCAAAATTAACGTACAAATTATCCTCTCATACATAAATGCGTGCATTCCCTTTGCCGCGCCTCCAGGTGAATTACCCTGTAATGGGCCTCACTTCCGGAACAAGTCAACCTTGACCATGATTGGATTACATTGATCACATGAGGGGGAAGTTAAAGTCGTTTCCTTATTCGGCCTTTCTGGAAAATGACTTTTTTCCTGTTTTTAAATTTTGTATGCCTTTTAATTTTAACCCACAGTATCAAGGTACGTTGGTTTAACTCATACTCGAAGATATGGCCTGCATGTTCCCAGTCCCTGTGAATGTAATTGATCACAGGGCTTAGAAACGTTGTTTAACTAATCCTCGGAGGGATTAAGTGTTTTATATATGATATTACTTCAGAAGATAGGCTTACAGCTATGTTTCTGACCCCTGTGACCGTCGCTTAGAACACACGTTGTGCTGGTGTCGTTTAAGTGTTTCGTGGTGTCACTAATCAATAAATCAATAAAGGCAATCAATGTCAATACTTATTGGAATTCTTCTCTAGATGTTTGACAAGTTTAAGTGAGGTACGTCTCGGAGATAGAGCAATGCAATAAACTCACAGGAAAAAGGATGAAATATCACGTCCGTACCTTTGGTCATTTTCCGCTCAATACCTTGACCCTAACCGGACCTGCGGTCAAAACTTTGTCAACATACTGAATTTTTTTTAGATTTAGAAATTTAATTATTTTAGATACTTATTTATTTATTTGTTTGTTTATTTCAAAATATTAAGGATCCTCGTTCCACCACCCATATCTGAAACTATACATTCGAAACTTTTCTTCCGTCTATAGCATTGATTAATTAATTCCGAAAAGAAAATTATACTTTGTGAAACTTTTATGAAAACAAAATCAAAAAGATATAAACAAAGCAGTGTTTCCAGTCTAAAAAAACATGACGCAACCTGACCAGACCATGCACGATTGGAACTCTGGACCGAACCACCTGAGCTTCCTGGTAATTAGTGTAACCTTGCTGAGTCTTGGACTTTTATAGCTAAAGCTTTAGTGGAAGTTTGCCTGCAGTTGACCAAGGATCCTTAAACACGTATATATCTATTTTTAGAGAAAAGTTCATTCAAAAGAACTCATACCATCCGAGTTGCTTCCCGTTTTTATTATATCCATAATCATCTTCGTGTAAACCCTCATTTATTAATGTTCCTTTCTCTTGTTTTTCTTGTTTTCTCCCCTCGTTTCTCCCAACTTTGATCATTTGCTTGCTGACGTATACGAAGTACCTGTTTTCTTGTTCCGTACATCTGACATTTTCTCCTCCTTTCTCCAATACTACCTTTCCGATCCTATATATTTTTTCTTTCTTTTCATCCATTCCTTACAACCCTCTCAATATATATTTCTCTCTTACTTTTTCCAATCCTTGCTTAGTGTAATCCTACATGATTTCGTTGTACCATGATTAATTAATTCTTTTTTCTCGCCTTCATTCCATATCCCTCCTCTCTCCTCCTGACTCCCTCCTCCATTTTTGTATTTTTTTTAATAAACCGACGACATTTTAATATAGCTTTCTCGTGAATAAACCTTGTGTATAAGATGACAAATAACCATAAAAGAGATGGACACAGATCAGATTTGTTTATCGACCAAACCATGTAGGTATGTTCGTGTTAATTCTAGGGAATATAAGTCAGTAAACAGATTTAATTTCAGTCCCTTTATACAAAGATAAAGCAGTTCGTATAAGGTGTGAAGTCTCCACGTGCTAGCGTCATACAAACACACGCCCTCTTTTCAATAAGGCAACACACATGAAAAACAATATAAGCTTGCAGACAATAACAGTTTTCTGAAGAAGATTAGCATATAAATATATACAGTATAAAAGCCACTATAGAAATATTTTTTAAACAAAGTGGTATATAAACCAAATTACCAACCATAGTTTTTTCTACAAATCACTAGGTTACTTTTCGAGAGGAGCGAATCCTAGCGGAGAGAGTTGGTACTAGGGTAGGTAATCCAGTGTTTAAGACTTATTGAAGGTCGCCCTTCAAATTAAAGTCACAAGAAACGGAGACTGTTTTCCTTGCCTCAACATATATTCCTAATCGCAATAACAAAACATCATCGGGCGATGACTTATCAACGGCACAGCTAAAATCGTTTTGTAGATGATCGAAACCTAACATTTCAATTAAACAGTACATCTTTGGAATTTTAGATAAATGAATTTATTTCCATCTCGGTACCATAAGTTCTGTTAGAGTTTGACTCAGTCGTTTCATTGCCATTATCAAATTACTCTGTCCCCCTTCTTACTTTTCCTTGCTTTCCTCTTTTTAGATATTTTTCTCCTCTGCATGCTGGAACTTGAGAAACAGACAAAACAACAAAAACCTTGACTACCGTTAGAGCTAGTGTTTAACGGAAGCTGATATGTTTGGATTCAGTTTTGTGTTGACAGTTGTGTTTA